CTGGAGAAGTGATGACTGTTCATGTACATGCTTCTGTCAGCTTTGGCAGTTACGGCTTTATTGCAGAAGTTGTCAAACTCCCTCTGTCGGGACTGGTATATCCAAGTAAGTCTGTAGGTGTTGGCTGGTTGGTTGTAGTCAGATTGGTTGATTGTAGTTGGTCTAATATTGATGATCCGTTGATTCTAGTTAGTCTAATTGATATAAATACTACACCAGTCTGGTGTAACATGCTGTCCTTGGCAGATATGGATTAATTTTGCAAATTGTCCAGCATCAGTGAAATAAAATAGGCAGTAAATTATGCAGTTTGTTGCTTGATTTTATTAATTAAATATAAAAACATGCTTGTGTGTTAGAAAAGAGATAGTGGAGATAGGTTGCTTCGTGCAGATCAGCAAGCATCACTTCAGAAGTCCCTTGTAGTTAATATTCTTTGGATATTTTCTCCAAGTCACGCCAGAGTGTTGAGAAACAAGCAGGCAGATAGACTGGCTGGTTTTGACCACTTGGCGATATATTGATGTTTGACAATCCAGATGTTGTTAGGGTCCTTTGGGAGCAAGTCAACAATGTGTAGGCACAAATAGATCATTATGCTCTTAGTAGAATGGTGCGCCGAGGATTGACCAGGCGGTCTCGCTAATGCGTGTGTGTGATGTCCATCAAGATGAATAATGTCCGCTCTTTTTCATCAAGTATAAGTACGAAGATGACTGATGAGGCCAATGTGGGCCTGAATAGTTCTTGGACAGTGAGGAAAGGAAATCGCGTTGTGCCAGGGATGGAATCTCCTACAGCCGCCTTTCTGTCTATCCTTTTTTTAATCAGTCTTGCTGTTCTGTTTGCTTCACATGTAGCCGCGCCCTTGTGTAGAGCTGCACGCCGTGCATTTCGGTCTTGAGAGGAAGCCTCCCAATTGGTGTAATTCATCCCAAATGCTTTGAGTGAAGACGTCAAGGTGTCCTTAAAGCGTTTCTTTTGCCCGCCTTGGAAACGTTTCCCATTTTGCAGGTCACCATAGAAATTCTTTTGTAAGCTAATGCATAACACTCGGGGGGAAGGGCAGGACGGATATACAATCAGATTACTACTGTTACCATTAGAGTTAGAACTCTGCACTTCGTGCTGAAGATGGGGACAGAGGGGTTATGAGAATGTCCGGGGTGCTGTGATGTCAATTCTTGATTGACTCCGCATTCAACAGTAGACAGTTTGGAATTATGAGATAGAAGAAGATTTGTGTTTGAAATGATTCACAGTATGTTGGACAGAATGCTGTGGACATATGTAATTATCAACACCGCACAGTATAGACTGTAAGAACAACTGATTTTTATTTTTACAACAACTTCAATCAATCAGGTGTCCTCTCCACAGTGATGGTCAGCTGCAATGGCTCTGTCTCTTGTCTTGATTGTACACCCTGTCAGATTGCTGTTTGTGCATCTCTTGATATTGTCCTCCCACTTGTATCGTTGCCCCACCTCTTGCTCTCCTGTCTTCGACTTTTCCCTCCAGTATGGTCTTCAAAAGCGTGTTGTCTTTTAATGTGACCAAAATATCCCAGTTGTCTCTTCTTTATTTAGTTCACAAAGTCTCTTCTCATTGATAGCCTTATGACTCCATTGTTAACTTTAGGGTGATACATGGTAAGGTCCTGATCTCTCCCACAATGGCCACTGTGTTCTCTGTTGTATCCTGAACATGCCTCATGTGTGCCATGCACTCTGCTGTTTCACTTTACAAGCCGTTGATCTTGATAGATTCTTCCGCTTTTTTCACTGTCCCAGTCCTCATGTACTAGGGATGGACATTCCCTGTTGTGACATATTGTAGACTTTCGCACAGTGTAACAGGGATAAAATATTTAATCATGTTTGTCCAAAAACACAGTGAAGATCAAAACCTGTTCCTGAATTTCAAGAAAAAAAAAAATAATGTCCCCAGATAAAACTGCCTGTCACCCCAAAGTAACAATAAATGATGAAAATGGCACAAACTTAGCATTAAAAGTCTATGGTTAAGCGCCAGCAAGGAAATCTAGGTCAATATTTTGAGGGCATGACACATCTTCCATGTCGCAACATACAGACATGAGTTGTGGACTGTCTCACGGTCATTAAGATAAAATAAGGGCTTTTGAAATTAAATGCTATAGAAATACCATGAATTCTAGAATACCATGGACCAGGTTAAAAAAAAGAATATTCTTCTTCTTCTTTACCTCCTCTTGTACCACTTCAGGTGTTGAGGAAGATATAAGGTCCTGCATCGTGCTCTTCTGTTTCAACCATAGACACATCGAGGTGCTGTAGAGTTTCTCTGATATTATTTTCCCATCTTGTTCTTGGTCTACCTATTGCTCTATGTCCTTCTCTTTTGATGTATGCCTTGAATGTATAGCATCAGAAGGCATTCTCTCCAAGTGGACAGACCATTTGATTTGCTGTCTTTAAATGGAATTTAGAGTTGGTTCTATGCTGATTATATCTCTTCTGACCTCATTACTGATTTTATCTCTTCTGGTCACTCCTACAGTCTTTCTCAGACACCTCATTTCCATAGTTGCTAATTTTCTTTTATGTTTTGTTGTGAGTGGCCTAGTCTGGCAATGATACATAGAATGGAAATGAATATGCTTTGTATGAGATGTTTCTTTGTGCTGATTGGGATCACTTTATGCTGAAAGAGGGAGCTAACTGTCCCAATACTAGACCTGCTTTACTGCATCGGATGATAATTTCTTCGTCCAACTTACCATCTTCAGTGAAGATATTTAAACTCAAATGACAGTTTAATATATGTGTGCTTTAGTGCTATATTTAAATTATGCTTCTTTCTTCCTATAGACATTACTTCTGTCTTTTCAAGAAAAGAATATTGACATCCTAAAAGGTCTGAACATCAAGAAAGATTGGCTAGTAAAAAGCCTCTAGTCTCAAACACTAAAATATTTTGGTGATATCAAGCACCACAGTGGATTGGAAAGAGTATTAACAGAAGGTGTGGTGCCAGGAAAGAGGAGTAGGGACCGACCAACATGAAGATAAGCACCGGATACAAGTCGAAGATGGGCACGGGATATAATTTGAAATGGGCACGGGATATAAGTCAAAGATGGGCACGGGATATAAGTTGAAGATGGGCACGGGATATAATTTGAAATGGGCACGGGATATAAGTCGAAGATGGACACGGGATATAAGTTGAAGATGGGCCTGGGATATAAGTGACAGCTTGAGTAGGAAAGTGCATCATGCACCAGATCTGGTGAATGATCAAGTATCTTTCAGGTCAGCTATCATAGGAGTGACATTCTGCTGATTACCTGCTAGCTACATGATGATTATTGTCAAACTGCCAATTATTGCCTTTATTACACCTCTTTTGCGGTGTAGACTGGGGGGTCTTTGAGCCTGAGGATTTAGGCTGCATGGCTAGTGCTGTCGCCACGACTGTGCAGGTGAGGATTTTATTTTGCGCCTGACAGAAAATATCCCCCACCCTCACTGAGGATTCGAACTCTGGTCTCCTGCCTGAGAGCCCAGCATTCTAACCGTTCGGCCTCGATGATTATTGTACAGTCACTAAATCTATTCTTGTAATTTATTTTAAAATTTGTCTATGAGTTTATGGATTTTCAAATCCTTTTAATTTGTTCTAGACATTTTGATTTACTGTTAACAGTTTCCAGTTATGTATTTTTTTCACTGCCAGACAGCGAATACAGTCACACAATTCAACAAGCAGAGATCCGACATAATGAAGACGGAGCAATTCAGTACAAAAATGTGGGGGAGACAACTCCTTCACTGTATATCGAACACTGCTGGCTGGACAGTAATGGCTACCCAGTTCTGAATCTGACCTCTCCTCCATCTATAGATATCTCCTTACAGAGTACCATCAGTTTCAGATTTGCTCATAATCAGGTGAGAGTTTAAAGAGTTCATGCTACTTTTAACAAGAGTCAAAAGATTTTACAACTTATAGATGCATGCATTCCAAGGTTTAGCTGATAAGAACTGTAACCTAAAATGGGTACCAGGATGGATGTCCTGGGGAAGTAAAGACGGCCGGCGTAATGCTGACCACATTACCCACCTAGTGCTATTGGTCTGTAAAAATATGGGGTGCTCTTTCCATATGCCCGATGCGCCTAAGGCATAAAAAAGGGATCTTTACTTTTTTTTTTGACATGTATAATGTAAGATGAAAGAAGGAAAAAACATGACGGACAAAAACTTTGTTTGTTTGTTTGTTAAAGGATAATGTCTTAAATTAAAAATCCATGCATTGAATATTAGAAAGAGTAGGGATGTCTACAGTCAAGATAATATCAGGAAGTCACAACACAACTTGAGACTAGGAAGCTGAAAGCATTTTCCTATTTGCATTCTGTATAACTTTTCTGGTCATTTGTTTGTTTATTTTAATTGATATAGAATTTATTCACAGTTATTTATATTCATTAATGTGCACTGAAATAGGAAACAGATGGAGTGACAAAATAACCTTCAAGAGAAACCATAAAACGAACATTGATGAAAGAAGCCAAAATTGCTTGACTGGATTTCTATCCATGTTATCAAAAATATTACATAGGATAAAATGGAGAAATATAATATGTATATAAATATAATATGTATATAAATATAATATGTATATAAATATAATATGTATATAAATATAATATGTATATAAATATAATATGTATATAAATATAATATGTATATAAATATAATATGTATATAAATATAATATGTATTTTAAATATAATATGTATATAAATATAATATGTCACATATAATGGCGCCACGGGATTAGGATGATTGAAAAAGACTTTAGTCACCACGTTCACTGTATTTATGCTATTTGTTCTTTCTTTCTGTTAAGTTTCCTAGTCTTTGTTTTGTGTTCACTTCTTGAAACTCGCTGACATTACTAGCAGCCTCAGAATTTTTTATGTCTAAGTCATCTTACTCTTACATTGGCAGGTCTCTCACAACCGTGGAGGTATGTACTTGTCTGCCTATACTAGCACCCTGAGTACAGCTCTACGGGGAAACATGACCAACAATGTATTTGCCTTTGGTACAAATGGGGAGGCTCTCAACATATCTGGCCACTACTTTCAACGCTTGAAGCTGTTCCAGAACTACTTTTATAACTACACAGCTGGTAAGTAGGTCATCATCATCATCACTGGCGTGGGCGATCATGCCTCTCCACAATCCACGATCTCCTGCAGCATGTATCAGTTCGTGTGCCGACACACCTCCATGCCATGTAAGTAGGTATATACTTTAAAAAAGCGTATGATACAGTGTACATGTAGTGAGATAATTATTAGATAACTATTATCTAGGGAGCCACTGTAGCTTGATGGTGCTCACATGCTGCCCCAAAGGTCAAGGGTTCAAATCCACTTCGAAGCAAAGTTTTTGTTTAAATTTACCATTGCTGCCAGGTTGACCCAGCCGAAAAATGGTAACAGGTAATATCCTGGGAAATAAAGGTAGCTGGCATGAATTTGACTACATCACCTATCAAGGGCAGATTAATCTATAAAACACAGCACATGCATGATGTGTGAAAAGGGTCCTTTTCCTTTCTTTTTCCCACAGCCTGGGAGTTCCGTATATCATACACTTCTTGTATTGTCCATATATCATCTATATCCTCTTCCTGTCGCTATTGACACATAAGGTATTCAGAAGTTATCTTTGTTACTGCTGGCCTGCTGCTTTTCTGCCCAATGTACCCTATTTCATTTATATTCCTTCATTCCCTTTCTACTTCAGGTTTCCTTGGGTTGTCCACATCTCCTTTTTCCCATCTGCCATCCCTGGGAGAGCTATCAATGCCAGGAAGTCAGTTGCAGTCATGATGTACATGTGCAGCTGATTCTTAAGAAACGTGAAAGCTGCTATGACTGCCTCCACCTCTATTCTCAAATTAGATGATAAAGTATCATACACTAGACTTTGTTGCACTAAGCGTCCTCCATTTGCTTTCACAGTGAACCACTGTGTACTTCTTCTGCCTCTCGATAGTAAGCCATCTGTATTGCTAAACACATCACCTAAATAGGAATCCTCTTCTTCTTCTTTTGTCGTCTCACTAATACTAGGTTGTAGCCCAGTGTCGTGGTTTTCTGTATTTGTCTTGCGCATCTCGGGTGGTTTGGGTGGTGGATTTGTTCACATTTTTTGCAGGTTTCGCTACACCATTTATCCATCCCTTTCTTGGTCTTTCTCTTGCCTAAGGGATCGTTATAGATCATTTATTTAATTTCTGATTCTGCAGAGCTTGCTGGCCAGTTCTGCACTACCGGCCAACGGTGATTAGAAGGCTATCATGTTCCAACACTTGCTGTTGTATAATAGTATTCCTGAAATATTGCTCTTGAATAATCTGAATTGTTTCTTTAAAGTCCTTTGACTTCCATGTATAAGCATGATAAATGCTCAGTTTTCTTTGTTTATTCTTGATGTTACCTCCTTTTCAGAATCTTCATCTGGAGTTACTTTACTCCCAAGGTATAATTCAATTCTTCGGCTTCTGTTGCTTCATCAATTAACCCTTTGGAGACGAAATATCAGCCTGACACAAAGTAGCCAAAAGAAGGACTTGGCCGATCAGTCGGCCCTATGTAATGCAAGCCTTGAAATGGCTGGCAGGTTTTTGTACTTCTCGCATCTCTTGCACATGTGGGCTGTTCATTGACGGCTTTTGAGAAAGGCTACCCGTGCCCAACAATGGTGAAGAGAACTGTTGTGTCATAGCCTCCAAATCATAGCTGGAGGCAGGAATATGAGTAGAACCATGTGCCAGAAGTGTCTGAAGGGTCTCCAAGGGTCTTACTTCCCAAAACACAAGTGTTAGGACTTATTCAAGATTCATCCATAAAAAAATTCATCCAATTTTTTTTTTTTTAGGTTAGTCATGTTAGTTCCCAAGTTTTAATAAAAATGGTTGCATAAATTATGCAAAGAAGAATAGTTAATTTGAATAAATGTTGAGATTTCAGTTTGATTCATAAATATTCTGTTAGCTCATTAAATTTCCTAAACGAATATGTATAATTTTATATATGTAAATTAAACGCTTTATTTTTTTAAATAATTTTTGTGAATAAACTGTGAGAATCCCTTCCTGAAGGCTTCTTCTTTTTGGCACTGAAACTCCAGAAAGGCTCCGTTTCTAGAGGGTTAATATAATGGAATTTGCTGTCTTATGATTATTTCTAATTTCACTTTATCACCCACAAGCTGTATTGCCCATGTGTACATCTATTGAGCTCTACTGCTGAAATCTACAGTAACATTTTCTATTTCAGGTGACTACAGAGATGTCATTCACATCAAGAATGTGGTGGTAAATCTAACACATAACTACATCCTTCGGAATATCGGATACTACATTATCCACACCTATGCCAGGTAAATGATCAAGTAAAAATATCTTTCTCTTAAAGTCCATGTCATGTTGCATTGGTAATCACATCTGTCCACGGCCTTCTGTTATGTGCACTGTCAGTTATAAACATCTTCTTCTTGACATTTGCCGGCTGTAAACTCTCGCGGAAAAGTTCTGGTTGCTCATCTACTTTTGGACTTAAGTATTGTTTCAGAACTTGTGTTTTTCATGCACTTTCAATATACAGATCTGGTTTTTTTTTTGGGTGTGTGTACAGACTTGGTCCCTCACTTTTCAAGCAGATGCACTCTGATTTTGAAGAAAAACACCAATTAAGTTTTTTACGACATTCTTATATGTTTGGTGGGGGGAATGGATATATTTGTTCCCCCAGAATGGATCCCCGGGACCCACATGGGGATATTTGTTATAAGGGTGGTTTTCTATGCCATGATGCCAAACTGTCCTTCTGTCTTGGTCTCATTAGCAAAGCAAACAATTTATTGAGATATGATATTTATGCAGGCGGACAATCAAAAATAATAATCCAGATATTTTGAAAGGAGCGAGGTCTCAAAGACAATTTATCACAAACTTCAGAAAGAGACAGTCATAATTTTCTAAATAAAAAGTTTTCATAAATTTTTCTAATGCTGGTATTTTCCTATCAAGTTTAGATCTGATCAAGATTCACCTTTCACAGTCATATGTACAGTTACTGATAGCTAATGTCGTCTTTTTAAGATTGGTATTACACACAGTCAAAAAATGTAAAACTATACTGGTGGGCAATTTAAGACAGTCACCCAGTCTACCCACATTGGACAGCAGTTTGCTTAGTAACCATAAGGTGCCCCAATATTATATGATTGAAAAGGGTTTCTGTGATTTGCTCCTGTTGGATTTACATCCTAGCGATTGATTGGCATTTTTCCGTCTTTCTAGACAATAGTGTTATATTGCACTATTAGGAGGTATGGGACTCACAGCCCATTCTGATGGCCTGTGTGACTAGCAAGACCCGGCCACATTAAGATAGGGAGCATACTTCAAACCTTTTCTCCAGGTTATGTCGGCGTGGTGGGGAATGAACAGGCAGACAAACTGGCTGGATCTGCACTGTTGGATGGTAAATTGATACATGACAATACAGATGTGGTCAAGGCCCTCTGGGAACAAGTAACGAAGTTACAAGATTATTAGGGCCTGGAGAGAATGTTGCACCTGGGTGTAACCAGAGGGTCTGGCTGGCTCACTACACTCAGAGAAAAGGCAAGACGGACATAAAACCAAATTACAACTGGTACTATAGTTTTGGAACTCTGCGCTGGCTGCTGAGAATGGGAATGCCCCGATTGCTGTGATATCAGTTTTTGACTCAACTCCAGATGTTTTGAAAGGAGGGGCTGAAAACATTAGAAGGAGACAATCATATATTGGCTATGTTAAACACTGAGGTAACCTGGAGAGAGAGGTGTTGGAGGGTACAGTTTCTAGCAATGGGCAGAAGCAGACCTCTGCAAATGTGGATACAAGATATTGAAGATGCATAGGCTATGAAAGCACATAGGGTTGGAGAAATGGCTAGAGAGATTCCGGCATGCCATAACAAGGGCAAAATTCTGTAAGTGACTTGCTGATTGATGATGATGATGGGAAGAGGGAAAATGGAATATGTTGTGACTGATGGAGAAATCTTAGTGTTAGTTGAGGTTTTAACATCATCGCAATCGGGTTTCCCCATACTTGCTCCTTTCCTGTGCCAGTGCAAATCAAATGTAATGTCCCTCACTGTGGCATTTTAAAAACTGGTGAACAAACAATTAGTCCCGGAATAATCCATAAATATGTGCACGCAGTAAATGCGTATTTCAATTGACAGAGGCCCCGAATTCAGCAATCGCCACCAGAAATTCAGTTTGTCATTTATGGAAGTAGTCAAGCACGATAAGTTGGTTGCTAAACACGTGTAAAAATTATTACATAAGGTATTTCACCAACTCACACATAAACCAGCTACTGTCCAAGATCTGTGCCTTTTGTCATGGCATGGAGAGCGCATGATACATACTGTTAAAGATCACTGGTTGTGGAGAAGCATGGCCACCCACATCAGTTGGTAAGACACATGGTGTTGATGAATTTGTAATCTTTTCAGTTAATTGTGTTTTTTGTTATACACTTTTATTAAGTTCGCCTTTACTTCTCAAATCAAATTACTCAGTGATGATGGCACAGATTCTCAACTATATGCTCGCAATGGCATCTATGACAATAACGCTACTGCTCTAAGGGAGAGCACTATCAAAATCAGCCATGGGAGACCCAGATTCATCAAAAATTTCTTGATCAACAATCTCAATGACTATGAAATGATGACATATCCAAAGACAGGGTAAGTCAGTATATCACAATTACAGCTCCATATCCAAAGACAGGGTAAGTCAGTATATCACAATTACAGCTCCATATCCAAAGACAGGGTAAGTCCGTATATCACAATTACAGCTCCATATCCAAAGACAGGGTAAGTCAGTATATCACAATTACAGCTCCATATCCAAAGACAGGGTAAGTCAGTATATCACAATTACAGCTCCCATATCCAAAGACAGGGTAAGTCAGTATATCACAATTACAGCTCTATATCCAAAGACAGGGTAAGTCAGTATATCACAATTACAGCTCCATATCCAAAGACAGGGTAAGTCAGTATATCACAATTACAGCTCCATATCCAAAGACAGGGTAAGTCAGTATATCACAATTACAGCTCCATATCCAAAGACAGGGTAAGTCAGTATATCACAATTACAGCTCTAATATATCCAAAGACAGGGTAAGTCAGTATATCACAATTACAGCTCCATATCCAAAGACAGGGTAAGTCAGTATATCACAATTACAGCTCCATATCCAAAGACAGGGTAAGTCAGTATATCACAATTACAGCTCCATATCCAAAGACAGGGTAAGTCAGTATATCACAATTACAGCTCCATATCCAAAGACAGGGTAAGTCAGTATATCACAATTACAGCTCCATATCCAAAGACAGGGTAAGTCAGTATATCACAATTACAGCTCTATATCCAAAGACAGGGTAAGTCAGTATATCACAATTACAGCTCCATATCCAAAGACAGGGTAAGTCAGTATATCACAATTACAGCTCCATATCCAAAGACAGGGTAAGTCAGTATATCACAATTACAGCTCCATATCCAAAGACAGGGTAAGTCAGTATATCACAATTACAGCTCCATATCCAAAGACAGGGTAAGTCAGTATATCACAATTACAGCTCCATATCCAAAGACAGGGTAAGTCAGTATATCACAATTACAGCTCCATATCCAAAGACAGGGTAAGTCAGTATATCACAATTACAGCTCCATATCCAAAGACAGGGTAAGTCAGTATATCACAATTACAGCTCCATATCCAAAGACAGGGTAAGTCAGTATATCACAATTACAGCTCCATATCCAAAGTCAGGGTAAGTCAGTATATCACAATTACAGCTCCATATCGTTATTTTACAAAAATAAAAATTTTAAAGGTTATGTTTATGAAACTTCTTTTTCTACATTCACCCTTAACAGGGAGGTTCGGACACTGTTGTTTTGTTTTGCATCTAGGCTATGATATCTGCCCCTTTCGGCCCATCACATCTTATTTCAGTAAATCCCAAATTAGTTGGGGGCGAGGGGGGAATAATGTGGATCTTTGCTGTCCTCTTAAAAAATGAGGCCCAATAGCCCACATCAGACGTTTATAAACCTAATGTTAAAAAAAATTCTTAGTATATCATGAATCAGTTTATAAACCCTAATCTTGAAGAAAATTCTTAGAAAATCATAGATCAGTTTACAAACCTTAATGTTAGAGAACAGTCTTAGAATATCATGGATCAAGAAGAAAAATGCATCATCAACTACCAGGTCACCCATTGGCTGGCCGGTGGACGACTTCATCGTTGGTTGGGACAGTATTTGGGTCTGTCTCTCTTGATCACATCAACACTGAAGGAGTTCTTTTCAGGGCTACTTGGTGGTGAGCAATTCTAAGCCATTTTTCATGGTGCAAATAACCTGGTCGCAATTATAACCAAAAGCTTCTCCCCCCATAGAAGGATGCTGGTTGAACGTGACGATTTTTTTCCAGCAAAGCCAGTCAGGTCAAATTAAATGCAAGCATTATGCAGGATTTGAACATAGAGGAGAAACAACACACCCTTTCATTGTCATTACCAGAATTTGAAACACTTATCAAGGGGAAATACACTGAATTGTGGAGGGAACAATACAACATTAAACACTCACAAGACCCCATCAGCAGATTCAACAAAAAGCAACATACAACAATTTTCCATCTACCAACAGGACACTGCAGGCTCAACTACCACGTGCAAAAAATCAAGATTGTACAGTCCCTACAGTGTGCATGTCAGGAGCACAAACACTGATTACATTCTGCAGACCTGCCCACTCTACCTACAACTTCGAAAGAAAACCTGGCCTCAAGAGCAAAGTGTGCAGAGCAAGCTATGGGGAACCATGCAGGACCTGCAGCTGACATGCGAGCTCATCAAGGAAACCCACCTGATGGTCTGACCTGAGCATACAAAACTGAACGCAAAGAAGAAGAAGAACATACAGGTGATTCCTGTCGTAAACTACACCATGTCTCAGAAACTGAAATACTTTGGCCACATTAAAAACTGCAGTGGTTTACAAAGGGAAAAAGAACTGTAATAGGAAGAGTGGTTCTTAAAAGAAGAGGCAGGGAAGGACTAGCATGGGGCTGAACACAAAATATTGGAAACATCTTCTTCTTCTCTTGGCATTCACCGGTTGTAAACTACTGTGGAAATTCTAGCTTTTAGTCCACTTCTGGATTTGAGTATTTTGTTTCAGAACTCAAGTTTTACGTGCACATTCATTTTACAGATCTGGCTTATTTTAAAGCAGAGTGTTGGCCTCTGACCTTTCAGGCAGAGGCACTCCCACTTTGAAGGTAACATCCTATTTAGTCAACTTTCAAGACCTGCTTGTCATGGGGCAGGTCTGCAGCAGACTGGCAGCACTGTAGATCACTTGTGAATATCTTATATGTCAGCAAAGACAGGAAGAGGATAGAGATAGAGACGCAGACAGACAGATATAAAAACAGATATTGTTTTGTTAACTCGAGGGAACATAGAGATGTTAAGACACACTGATGCAAATATTAAAGAGTCCAAATACTGATTATGCCCAGCATTCTTCTTCTTCCTCTTCGTGTTCACAAGCTGTAAACTCTGGCGGAAGGTTCTGGTTGCTCGTCCACTACTGAACTGCAGTCCTGCTCCAGAAGCTGAGTGTTGCGTGTGCATCAGTTTTACAGATCCGATTCTCTTGAATACAGACTGTTGGTTCCTTGCCTCTCCGGCAGATGCACTCCGACTTCAAAGGAAGCTCCCCAATTAGTCGACTCTTACGACATGTTTTTGGGGAGGCAGTGGGTCTATTCTTGTTTTCCCCACAATGGGGCCCCGGAAACCACACGGGAGGCCCAGCATTCTAAACAATACGCTATAAATATATCACTGTTTTACTGAAAATTTTTTCTTCTTTTTCTGTCCTTTATCCCCCATAATGGAGCTTAGGCCCTCAAGCAGCTGGTGCCAGATCATCCTGTCCTTTGCTGTCTCATGCAGTTCAAGCTGTCCCGATCTTTTTTTATTTTATAATTTTTTTTTTTAAAGTAACTTTGCTAATTTCGTTTGCCACAATTTTTGTGTGTGTGTGTGTGTGCGAGGTCTGCCTTCTTTCCTTATTTGTTTATTAATCTGTTTAATTTTTATGTTGCGATAAATTTTTTGTAATGGTAGAATTCATTGTTAATTACACTTACTGAAGGTAGTTCACTGAGTATTGTATTCAGTGAGTGAGGTGCGGCTAGTTAAGTAGCTGTCATGCGGGAGACTTGGGTTTGATACTCAGTAAGAAAAAGACTTTTTTTGTTGCGGAAAAAATTAAGTACTAGCCCGCACAGTCCAAGTTGACTGCTCTTGTCATATGACTTTAAATCCTCAGGTGACGATCCTCCTGTTCTACACTGCTATGAAAGTGGTAAATATAGGCAGTACAAATTATGTATTCATATATTCAGTGAACTTCTGCTTTTATGCTTTTAATTCTACCAGCTACATAATTTATTTATTGGGGGAGAGGGGGGGGGGGGGTGGTTCGAAATAAAAATAAAAAACACTGCAAAACTGTAGTAATATAAGTAGTAGTAATAGTAGCAGCAGCAATATTAGTAGTTATATTTTTAAAAAAATATTTTGTTTAACTCATCTGGGTTTAATTGGCATATATATATATATATATATATATATATAGAGAGAGTTGTGTATAACTTTGATTCATTTAACATAATTGTAGTTGACATATCATAATTATTATCTTGATACTGCTTTTATTCAACAATGTTTACCAAATAGTTTACCCTAATTTCATTAACCGTTACCAAATACCTATTCATATTTTTATAGGACTCATTCTGAGACCATAGATGCTAAAGACAATTGGTGGGGCTCGGAGCGCCAAGCTTATATCAGTGGGAAAATCCATGATGGTATGGATGATAGCCTTCTTGTTGATGTTGACTATTGGCCACCAGTTTTGGATAATCGCTCTCTGATAGAAGGTAAGCAGTTTTTCGCCATTCGGTCCAGGTGGAGTTTAGGTGCTTTTTTTTTCCACAAAAGAAGAAATTTTTTTTAAAAGAGTGGAACAAATATGCAACTGTACTGACATCATTATCTAAATAGGAAGAAACTAATCACACTTTAAAAACATTTTGAAAAAAAGTCTAATTACAGCAGGTGTGCTTCTTATTTTGGACTATAGATATATATACATTCTGCAGACCTGCCCACTCTACCTGCAACTTCAGAAAGACACCTGGCCTCAAGAGCAAAATGTGCAGAGCAAGCTATGGGGAACCATGCAGGACCTGCAGCTGAAATGCGAGTTCATAGAGGCAACCCACCTGATGGTCTGATCTGAGCATACGAAACCGAACGTAAAGAAGAAGAAGAAGAGGACCATAGATATGTTTTGAATATGACTGGCACCTTTCAGTCTTTCTAGGCGATAGTGTTATACTGCGCTATGAGGAGGTATGGAACTCACAGCCCATGGCGATAATGAGTGTGACTAGCAAGATCCGCCCGAGTTAAGAAAAGTCCTCTACAATTATAGCATGGATTTTCAGGACCTTTCTTGTCAACATTTGTGTTTAGTCTGTTTCTTCTCAGATGCTCAGCTCTCATCCTTTCCGCAACAATCATTTCTTCCTTCATTCTCATTCCCTTCCTGATGTGCTCCCTCTACATAGCACAGTCCATGGCATCCTCTCCATAGCACTAAGCCTGGGCAGTATTGTAGAGACCATATGTTTTGGACACATGATGATAGGAAATGGCCCCAAGAATTTGATTACAACTGGCAAAATTGGTGGAAAAGAGAGCAAGGTGAAGGCAAATATATAAATACCTGAAGCAGTGACCCGAATCCATGATTCTGATGATTGTGTGAGATGGTGAAACATGACCACCTTTGCTTTTGGACAGGGCTCACAGTCATGATGATTCTAATATACAGACATTGGGATCTTCATCGGTATTATGGAGTTTCTACTGTGAGTGTGGTGCAGGAGGAAGTAACCAGGGAGATGTGGAGGATAATCAACACTTGAGAGGAAAAGTAAAATGAACGTATAAATAATCAAACTGCTAGAGGTTCCATTGGTTTTGGAACTCTTCCCTGGCTGCCGAAGATGAGGATGAAGCACTTATGGGAATGTCCTAAGTGCTTAGTTTAGATCATTAAAGAAATGTTCATGTAACATTATTGTATCCCACTATATAAATGTTATTGCATGTCTTGTGATTTAGATTGGTGTTGTTATTTTTATACCTTGATTTACTCATGTGACACAGGTGACTGTCTACCTGGCTGGGTTCTTGACCGCAAACGATGCTACCGATACATGGGAGGAGCTTTGCCATTTGAGGAAGCCAAAAGATTTTGCCAGGTCATTTGAGAGATTTTGTGGACTATTCTTCTTTTATCATTGTTTCCTAAATTTTTTTGCTGGAGTTTGTATGAGGACAGTTTTTAAAATAATATTTTTGCAGTTTGAACTAAATTCTTTGATAGCTCCTTGTTGAAGATGGGAGGCCGGAAAATTTGTAGAGTAAGTTTCCAGTAACTGTCTGCTAAAGAGAACATGTGTTATATGCACATGAGACATGGAAAACAGCATCATCATCATCAGGGGCTTTGCCGACTGGCGTGGGCGATCATACCTCTCCATAATCTGCGATCTCCTGCAGCATGTATCAGTTCGTGTGCCGACACACCTCCATGCCATGCAACAAGACTGTCAAGCATCTTCTCTTGTTGTCTTCCTCTATCTCTCCTTCCACATATCTTTCCAGTGGTCCCAACATGTTCTATTTTCCTTCTTCTCATAACATGGCCGAAAAATGATGACTGTCTCCTTCTGATGTCTGTGATAAGTTGTGGAAAACAGCAGACTAGCCAAATAAAACCTGGCAATAGATTTTGCGAAGGCAAAGAATATCATAGGGAAAAAAGAGGCAGTCCTTCTGGAGACAAATAAAAGGGATGAAATATTCTTCTTTTTCTTCATTTGAGTGGTGTAATTGAGTTGTGTCTGTTTACTACAATGCTGTGATATTTGCACTTTTTGGCTGACACATCCGACTTCATTGAGAATTTGTTTACTGAGATAACTTCCTGGATAGTTTTGTGGGGCATGACGTGGCCTTATTTGTGTGATGTTCCCTTTGTCCCCTTATGTACAGGTTTTGCCGCTGGTAAACCTATTCAAGGCACCTGGGTGTGAACTGGACGGCCCTCACATGATGACAGGGACAGACCATGTGCATTCTTTACTATCCAAGGAGGATTCCATGAATGCATAACTGACACATGACTCTCTTGTTTTAGGCTAGCCCAAGGAATTATCAGTCCCCCCCCCCCCCCCCACCCAAAAAGATCAGCTGAGCAGAAGGAGCCTGCATGTCCAGGACTTCAGTGACTTCACAAATGGCCAGCTTCTTTTTTCAGCATGTTAGAAACCTTTAATGTTGTTCCATCTGGACACTAAGCATGACAGTATGGTTAAACGCATGCATCAGGCATCATTTCTTTTTTTTTGGTCCCGACACTCTGGCAAAAGGGCCTTTCAGTAACTGACATCTGAACCTTTCTGCCAACCAGTTAGGACTTTTGACAGCCGGGCATTTAACTTTAAGGCTTTACTGTTGTGCCAAAGGACATGAATCTGATGGATATGTAGGCCTAATCAGCTGCTGACAGTGGCTATTTGTCATTGTGTACCTCAACGTGGTGATGACGATGTTGAGGGTCGACAGAGGATGTACGGAGACAAGACTGTACCATGAGATACCACTGCCAGAAGATGTTGCTTGTCTTAGCTGTCAGTAAATCTCTTGCTCTAAGGTTGAATCTCAGCAGTTCACTAGTTCTTTCACTTGTCAGATGTATCAACTAAGGGTTGTCATTTATTAGTATATTCAGCCAGTGGACTTTACATATGTTCCAGATTAGTTTTGATAGATGTTTTCAGTAGTGCATTGGGGATAAGCTGATGAGAGCCAGAGGATTTCTGGGTACTGCTTTTCTGGGGGGTAGCGGGGGGTCACCAGCTCCAAGATCTCCTGCCAGCTCTCTTTAGACCTTTATGAGACACTGTCTATGGCACACAGTGAGGACGTGTGAAAGGAGTCTTGCATGAAGTTCCGTAGAATCAGCACAGAGCTGGCTGGCCCCCGAGGAGAGGTACAGAGTATTTCCTTATACACATCACAACAACCTTAACTTTCGCACACGCCTTTGACTGAAATCACCGTGCCACAGCTGTTAAATGATTAGGGAAATTCAGAGGTGAGAAAGAATAAAGTAAAACTTCATTACAACTGTAAATATTGATGGATAAAGAGCACAGGGAAAGCAGATAGATAAGTAACTTAAAGGCTTGGCACAGGAGCTCTGACTTGACTTGATTTTGGTGATTGTATGGGGGCAGTGTACAAATCAGGTCCACCTACATTTATCAGCATGGCTGATGATGTTTACAAAGTGGTCATCTGCATTATAATTTTTAGTTTTATTTGTGATTATAAATTTTGCATCATTAATATAAATTTTAATTTATGTAACAGTCACACAAAGCATTTCTGGCAGAAGCTCGTGATAGAGAAGCATTTTTCAACTACCTGGTGCGTTTGATGGTCATTGAGGAGGATTGGTCGCAGAGAATATGGGTCATGGCTGAGGTGGGCTCAGGTAGATGTGCAGCTTTTGAAATGAACTACATAGTGTATGAGGAGGAATGCAATCGCAGATACTATCCCTTCATATGTGAAACAAGTAAGTCCTTTATACATGCTTAATCTTCCGGTTGCTGCCATTTGTATGTGTCGGTTCTGGAACCCCATTGTGGGGGGGATAGATCCACTGCCTGCCTCCCTCCCTCCCCAACAAGCATGTTGTAAAAGATGACTAATTAGGTTTTTTTCCTTCGAAGTCGGGGTGCACATGCCTGAGAGGCTGAGGACCCAACAGTGTTCATTCAAGTAAACCTGACCTGTTAAACAGATGTGCACACAAAACTCGAGTTCTGCAATAAGACTAAAGTCCAGAAGTGGATGAACAACCAGAACTTTCTTTCGGAGTTTAAAGCCGGTGAATGCTAAGAAGAAGACGTATTTATTCCTAATCTTGGTAATTAATATGTTATATATTAATATGTTTACAAACATTTTTAATTCCTTATCTCAGTGAGTACAACCATGCGTATATATTTAAAAAAAAATTTTTTTAAAGCTATCCTTGCTACTTGTACTCGTATTAACCATTTTTGTCATTGTAATGCATTGGCCACATAGCTTGTTCTCTCATCACAAACTGTGCAGGTTAAGATTTTTTTTTTCCTGGCAGAAAAAAAATCTCCATATCTTGTCAAGGATCGAACTTAAATCCCCTGCATGAAAGCCCATCGCCCTCACCACTTGGCTACCTGCTCCAACTTGTATGCATATTGCTCGTATGCATCATATATAGTACATTACGAGTGACATGGGAAGTAAAGGTGACTGGCGTAATGTTGACTACATCACCTATTGTATGCTGATTGGTCTGTGAAAATAGGAGTTTAGCATGATATGTCTTAGGTGCCAATAGAGTACAGAAAAGTCTCTTTCTTACTTTACTTACATGGTGAATTTCATTTTAGCAACTGTTTCAGCCAGAAAATCTTTATATGGATGCCAGCTGAGAATAACTAGTGTACATTTCATTTTTTTTTTTTATGACACATTAAAAGGGAGATAAAATAACATTTGAATTTAATGATGGGTTATGAATCAACATAACACAGAGAACATTCCTATAATTTACATTATACATCTAACCAATGTACAGCTTCCACTAAATTTCAACATTTCTCTGTGCACTAGTTTTCAAACTAATATTTAGTAGCATGATGCCAGGAAAGAGGGACATGGGCCGACCAGCATAAAGATGGGCACAGGATATAAATTACATTTTGGGTAGGAGGTGGGAGATCTAGTGAAAGGCTAACTTCAGGCAGACTGATGAGAGCGTTGTTCAGCAAAGAACCTGCTAATATTATAATGATTTAGTAGATGAGAACTACACTAGCACATTGACCAGCACACTTGCCTTCTGACCTGCCATTAATTGAATTCAACATGAAGACATTTTTTGTAAACTAATTTTTGTTGTTGTTATTCTAAACAAATTGTTTCCACATTTTAAAATAGACAGTTTCACTGAGATATACTTGGTTCTGTTTCAGATCCTGAGCTGACTGTCCCGGAAGAACTAACATCAGCAGTTCAAGCCATGATCATAGGAATTGGTGTTGGGGTTGGTTGCCTCATTGTCATTGCGGCTATTGTGATCGGCATTCTCTGGTACATGAAGTCAAAGCAGCGTAAGAAGGAACGGTTCGAAAGAACAGCCTCGATGAGATCTTCCCTGAATAACCTCACAAAAATTGATAGTTCCCTGAGAGGAACCAGATCAACTCTGACTGGCTTTTCTGTGGGAGCTTCAAGGCAGCGGCTAAATGAGCTTGATAATAGGTCGCTTGAATCTTCACTTGAAAAGAACTCTCAGAGGTCTTCACTCAGCAGTGAAGCAAACAAAAGTCAGCAAAGTATTCCTTACAATGATGCAGCCAGTCAAAATTCACAGTCTATGATAGATGGCAAGAGAGGTAAACCTGTTCACAGTCTGCGCCCCGACAGGTCAAAAACTGGAAGAAAAAATCAAGCACTGGCAAAACAAGCAGAAGCACTGAACAGGGAGAGAGAGAAAGAGAAAGAAAGAAAGAAATATCGATACAGTAGAGAGGATGAAACAGATGAAGATGAGAAATATAGTGATAATTCCGATGAAAATAGTGATGAGAAAAAAAGCTTACATTCTGATAGCTCATCTGGAGATAACAGTATCAGTGATGAAGAATATGACAGTAAAGATAAAAGAGCTGCCAAAAACAAAAAAGAGTCTACTTTCAGAAAGTCCAGTGAACATCTCTTGCAGAAACCTCTCGTGCCTGGAAAATCTAGACATGACCCTTTAGTTAAGCCAAATGTGAGTAAGCCAGATGACTTTCCTAGCAGCCGCTACAAAAGCAAATCATTATCTATCTTTACAGATAATGCAGAAGATCAAGCCAGTAATGTTCTGCTTCCGCGATCAACTTCAAAGGAAGGCCTTTTAGCTAAGCCTTCAAACCAAAACAGACCACTGGAGGTCTCTACTCAGGTGAAACCATCACCAAAACCAGTTCCTCGTCCCAAGCCACTTCCTCCTGCAAGGAAACCTGCTAAAGAAAGTCAGGATCAGCCTCAAGAAAATGTAGCTTTACTTGCCTTTAAACCCTCAGAAAGAAGTACGGATAGCAGGGATCGTCTGTACACAAAACAGCAAGGTCCACAACCCAGCAAGAAA